TGTTCTTTATGGTGGTCAACAGTTGTAAGTACATTGATCCGTCTATCTATAGGTTTTACTAACTTATGGAACTAAGTGTATTTTGCTAAGAAAAACAATCTTTTATTGTTTTAGTCATTATGTTCTGGTGCTACCAGATATTTTTACACGATACTTGTGGCTTCGTCCATTAACAGCAAAAAGTGGCCGGTAGGTGAAAAAGCGTTTCCACGTCGAAAGGAGTCAAGAACAAGAAAACCGTGAGTGTCTGATGTGTTCAGAGCCTTCCACTTGCACGTCCGAAAAATAATAGAATGCCCGTTGAGCACAGGGTATTCTCCAACTTTTTGCATCATTCGCCGATTTGTTTTCATCCTCATCATTACATTATTCTGTTTTTATGGGCAGTTGCCCATGAAGTGAGCAAAATATTTGCAGAAACGGTAAGCCGAAAATTATTCGGACAGATCGTGAAACAGAATTTCTCGGTACGTTGACTGAATTATGTAAAGAACGAGGCATACGTCGAATACGAAGTGATGCATATCATCCTGAATCACAGGGAAAAGTAAGAACTGTGAATGTATTGACAGTAATACAACAAGTATTTGCAGGTGGAACGTATCGATCGAACGTGGAAATCAAAACTAATCTTTGATTTTTTGGTTAATAATGCAACAAACTGGCTAGTTAAATTACCATCATATGCCGTGTGCATTAAATATGACGTTGGAGGCAATATGTTCAGAACGTTGTAAGCATGATTATTACGCTTGAGATACTTTGTCCTACGTAAGTAATATGATCCATTTTTATTTCTTACGTTTTATTTAGGTTTATAATTTGCATCTCATGTTTTCTTACTACGCATTTCTTTACGATTTATCGTTTCTAAAATAAAATAAAATAAAATAAAAACACCAACCTAACTATACAAATAAACAATGAAACACAGAAACAAATGGAACGCAACAAATGGAAGAAAACGCAACTAAAGAAAAAAACGGCAAGAACTGTGTTGAACAAAACAAAAGCGAGCACAGCGCAAAACTTACTTGTTCTAGCTGAGCAACGAAGTGTGTGATAGTCTAAATAGATAGCAATCTGAAAAGAGAAGCAGAATCTTCCATTTCATCATGCATACCCAGTGGCGGCGCGCCAGCAAGCAACGGGTTAGCAATTGCTTCCCCTAAAAAAACTTGGGGGAAGCAATAAACTTTTATTGCTTCCTATATATATATAAAACGAATTGTGTACTATGCGAACAGAGAGAAAGGGACTATAGCGAACGTAATTTCATTTTAAAGTTTATTGCTTCCCCTGAAAAACTGACCTTGCGCCGCCACTGTGCATACCCGATGAGCAACTATCGCTTTTCCTCAGATCCTTGGTCTTATTAAACCCTCGTCTCTCGCCTGTTTCTCTATCAGTTCTTGTAGCATGGGAAATCTTCATGTCCATTTCTTAAAAAGCTAAGAAAACCTAAAAGGACAGACAGATGAATGATAAAAACCGAGTTTCGATTGAATTCATTTGCTGACCCATCCCTGGGGACCAGGAGTCAATTTTTCGAGGAAAATAAAAGTCGCCAGAACGATCTGAGACGTTGAACACAATTCTGATGTTAGATTTTTATTCTGAGTACAGTGAAAAAGCTTTTTCGAAAAAATGCCTTAGGAACGAAGAGTCAGGGGTATCGATGTTTGCTCGTTTTGAATAAGATCAAGTTGTTTTTCGATAAGAAACACGCATCTCATTCTTCGGAATTCCAATAATTTGTTCACAGCAGAAATTAGTTCAAATTCGGCCACGACGCCATTTGATTTCAACGCGAATCTTCATCGACAAGAGACGATGTCTTGACAACTGCGAGATCATTTTTAATGAATTGTTCATCTAAATAGTTTTCCCATCTGGAACTGAAGAAACTGAGACATTTTGATAAATAAAGAAAACATTTTAAACATGTTAAACATTTTGATAAATATTTATTCGTGGTATATTATTATTTTCGTTGTTATCTGGTACATCTGTCAGTTCAATTTCATCCGGTATTATGTATGTTTGTTGTGATTTAGGATCAATCCACTTCTTTCTTGCGTGATATGTTAGGTTGAAAGCTGGTAACATCAGTTTGCCTGTACTTAAATCTATTGTTGTTCCAACACCAACCGGTAATTTTGGTATTTCATCATTTTTAACTGATGACGGTAATTTTCTTGTTGAACCTGGACAAAATGAACCATAGTAACCAACAATTGGACATAAAACACTACGTGCATCATTTGCTTTTGACTTCAGAAAATTATGGTTATCCTATAAGAAAAAGATGAAAAACCGATCTGTCAACAAATTACGG